TGTACCATAGGTTCACCATCACAGGTCTAGGGTTTCCTGTCCGAGCAGGGGGTTGGGCTAGAAGACCTCCAAGCTCTCTTCCAACTCTGTTGCTCTGTTATTCTGCATCTTTTACAACCTTCTAAACCAGTAGTGGGATTCAAAATTTTTTACTACCAGTTCTGTGGGCATGGCTTGGTGGGCGTGGCAAGGGAAGGATACTGTAAAATCTCCAGTCAGAGGTGGTATTTGCCGGTTCTCCGAACTACTCAAAATTTCTGCTACCGGTTCTTCAGAACCTGCTGAAACCCACCTCTGTTCTACACGTCAAATTATACCAACGATATAAGTAATTTTTTTGTTCCAGTACAAATACCTCAAAACAAAAACCGTCTGCCATGATGCAGATTTCTTATAATCTGCAAAAGATTATAGCGCCAACAGGCAAAATGGAGGCACAGATGGAATCCATTGGTGTAGAAATTGTTCATTTGCTTTCTATCTTTGGAGTCTCGTTTTTTGTTTTGCCTCCTGTGCTATTTATGGTCTCGATGATAAGTTGGCTGCCCATAATTCAGCCCTCAAAACAAGTATTCCTTTAATTAAAGCCAAGGTATAATTTGTTGGTGCCAGTCTACTGCAAAATCCACACTCCCCGTCGTCTTCAGTTAGACTGGGCAGGTGTGTCTCTTCTGCCTGGGTGGCAGTCAGAACTACAAAAGCCTTTTAACTGTGATTTTAATGCATGCTCTGCAATGGTTGGATTAAAAAAAAATTACTACCGGTTCTGTGGGAATGGCTTGGTGGGTGTGGCATGGCTTGGTGGGTGTGGCAGGGGAAGGTCACTGCAAAATCCCATTCCCTCCCCACCCCACTAACCTGCTTTCCAGCTCCGTTCTTCTGTGCAGGGCAACCAAAGAAGACCCAGCCAATCAGGGACTCAGGAGGTGGAGAAGAGATGGGAGCGGGGCCTGTCAGAGGCGGTATTTGCCGGTTCTCTGAAATACTCAAAATTTCTGCTACCGGTTCTCTAGAACCGGTCAGAACCAGCCAAATACCGCCTTTGGTGCTCTATGAGGTGCTCTCCATCTTTGGCTCCTTGGGTTGGAGAGGGGCGATTGACAGATCCGCACTGCCAACTAAAATGGACTCTTCTTTTAGCGTCCTTGCGACAGATTCAGTGGGAGCTGAACCGGTTTGTGGGGAGATCTCTCCAAGCCTTGCGACGCAGGCCACGTTCACACCCGAACACAGTCAACGTAGCGTGGCAGGTTCAGCACAAGAGGACATACGTTCCGCTATGGACAAGAATATATCGGGGCTCCGTGTAATCCAACGTGAGATGCGGAAACGTCTGGAAATAAATAGCAAACAACTTGCCACCCGAAAAGCTGATCCTTTGCAAACGTGAGCCATTGTCCTGTCCAGTCCTTGCATCCTAACGTCCCCTATCCTCTCCTATAAAGTGTGTGTTGTGCAGGCTGCCTGATGCATCGCATTGTATATTAACACGCACGTGTGACGGTAATGAGCCTTTGTGGTTAATAAAGCTACAGCAGTGGGCTGTGTGAATGGTAGTTAGAGAAACGGCTCACATTCTCGAGAACTTGGGTGTAAACGTAAGTCACTGTGGTTTCCTCTGGCGATCAGAATCCTGCTAATCGCAGCTTATCCATTGTGTATAATCTTGCAAAAATAGAACGTGCCGTTCTCATTTGCGGCATCCGAAATGCTACAGGGTAAAGGCGTTGACCCGCATTAATTATCACAATACAACCTGTGTAGTAACTATGCAAAGAGCCACGGTGGCGCAGTGGTTAGAGTGCAGTACTGCAGGCTACTTCTGCTGCCTGCCAGCTGCCTACAACTTGGCAGTTCGAGTCTCACCAGACATCAAGGTTGACTCAGCCTTCCATCCTTCCGAGGAGGGTAAAATGAAGACCCAGATTGTTGGGGGGCCAGAGGCTGACTCTGTAAACCGCTTAGACAGAGCTATAAAGCACTGTGAAGCGGTATATAAGTCCGAGGGCTAAGTGCTATTGCTATGTTGTCGGTTTGAGCTCCATGCTTGGTGATTTGGTTGCAAACGTTTTGTCCCCATTCAAGAAGACATCTCCAGCACGCTTTGCATTGTGCTCGTCTGGAGGGGGAACCCTGGCTTTTAAATACCTTTCTGAGTCCTGGTTTCATTTTGGGTTGTGTGTGATTGGCTGACTATAGTTGCTGTGTCAGTAGGCCTTGGTTTTAAGTAGCGTCTGTCAGTGATGGGATTCAAAAATTTTTACTACCGGTTCTGTGGGCGTGGGCTGATGAGCATGGCATGGCTTGATGGGTGTGGCTTGATGGGTGTGGCAGGGGAGGGATACTGCAAAATCCCCATTCCCTCCCCACCCCACTAACCTGCTTTCCAGCTCTGTTCTCCTGTGCAGGGCAACCAAAGAAGATCCAGCCAATCAGCTGGGACTCAATGGAAGGCAGAGAATAGATGGGGTTGGCGGGACCAGTCAGAGGTGGTATTGGCTGGTTCTCTGAACTACCCAAAATTTCCACTACCGGTTCTCTAGAACCGGTCAGAACCGGCTGAATAATCACACCTCTGCTGTCTGTGTGAATGTAAATTAGTGCGGGTGTTGTTTGTCAGCCTTGCAAGCCATATTTTACTTGGAAGCTTTGAGGCTGCCACTTTCAGTGCCTGAGAATTTGGGAGGGGGGATTTCATAGAGTGGTGGAAGGTTAGACTCAACAACATTCTTTCTCAGAGCGTCAAGGACATGTTGCTCTGCACCTGGAGGGGAGTGACTGGAGGGATGTCTCCAGTTGGGATGACAATGGATTGGGCAATGGGATGGACCAGTGGGTGCAAAGAATTGAATTTAAATTTCTTTTGGGAAGGGAAAACCCGGAAATTCTCAGATTTGGGTTTTCCCAGAAATGCCAATATGACAACTCTAATAAAATTGGAACTTTGAGGAAATGCTTGTCTCGTAGTTTATTGGTTTAGAGTTGGTTAGTTGGAATGCTGACATTGTTGTTCAGAAGACATGGGCTCCCCCCTAACCAGCATAATCCAAAGCGTGCTGAAGATGTCTCCTCAAATGTGTTCTGACCAGGACTTCTCGAGACTGTAATTAAGTACATGCTTAGTTTAAAAAAGTCTTGTTTTATTTCAACGCTGGGAATTATGCTCATTCCCAGCCTGTAATGAGTCCCAAACAGTCCCTCAAGATGAGCATCCACCTTTATCTCCTTTGAATTGCTGCCAACAACTAGAGTGCCAATAAAAAAACTATTAAAAAGTACAAAACCCACACAGAGCTTCAAGGATTAATCCGAACAGAACGAACGACTTTGTTTACTGCAAAGGTTTCGTCATTGAGGTCTGACTTTTATCCCTTACGGGAGGCGCAATCACCTCCCAGCCTTACTCCCAAGTTGCCCCTTCTGCTTCAGCTGCTCTTGCCTTCTAGCAACTCTGCTGCTGCCAGACTCCGGAGGCTCCAGAGTCAGCACCCCACTCCCAGATGGTCCTGGCCCCATCTCTGCATTAGATGCAGGACCCTCATCCAAGTCCTCCCCAGACTCCCAGACTGGTCCCTGTTCTTCCCCACTGTCCAACTCCACTGCTATCTGCACCGGCTGCCGGCAAACCAGAACAGAACAGGGACTAAACGTTTGCAGCCAAATCGCCATACTCGGAGCTCAAACCGACAACATAATTACCAACCTGAGCTACTAATATTCAAAGGCGTGTAGTAATTGCATGGGTGTGGCTGATTTCAACAATACAGGTAGTCCTTGATTTTCAACCATTCATTTCGTGACAGCGGTAGCAGGAAAAGGGACTTACGGCCATTTTTCACCCCTAATGACCGTTGCATCATCACCGTGATCACGTCATTAAAAAATTCAGATGCTTGGCTCCTAACTCGTATTTATGACAGTTGCAGCATCCCGAAAATTGTGTGATTTCCCCTTGGGGAGGCCAGCCTCGCTTAACAACCATGTTACTCACGTAACTGCAGTGATTCACTTTACAACGGTGGCAAGAAAGGTCATAAAAAGGGGGGGAAAGTTCACTTCACAAATGTTTCACTCAGCAGCTGAAACGTTGGGCTCAATTGCAGTCGTACGTTGAAGACTTGCCTGTGTGTTATCATGACTGTTTGTTGTGGTTATCCGGCAGCAGGTGCAGACGGCTGAGGAGAGCGAGGACTCAGATGAAGGGCCAGGACCATTAGGGAGTGGACTGCTGCCTTCAGAGATTGTGGGGGCTGGCAGAAGAGATGATGAGGTTCCCGAGGAGCCTGTGCCAAGTGTGCATGCGCGCAGGGCTGCTCGCAGGAAAGAGCAGCTGCAGCAGCACGGGCGACTCGGGAGTAAGGCTGCAAGGTAATGGCCCCTCCTTCAAGAAGATAAAAGCCAGCTTTGAATCGGACGTTCTTTGCAGGAAGCAAAGACATTTTGAAACTCAGCCTCGTGGACATTGCAGTATCTTAAGCTGGTATTTGAAGACTCTTGTGTTGTGAAATATTTCTTATCTGTTATTCTTGGCAGCCTCGCACAGTTTTGGCGAGGCTTGTGCTTATCAAACTTGCAGCAGCCTTTTAACCGGGGATTTGTAAGAATCATTGAAAGGTTTCTGTTCCCTTTGGTTCATGTTTGTTTTATTGGAAAAGGGTTTGGGTCAGAACACTCTTATTTGATCAGCTCTTCTATCAGGAACCACTTTCCCGTTTTCAATTTCACACTGCGACTTTGCTAGCGGGATAATTCTGAATTCTAAACACGTTAGGGTTCATGAAAACAACTGCTTCAAATTCCGCGCAGTGACGGAATAAAAGTTTTTATTTCGTGTGTGGTTTTTCTGCGAGGTCAGTGCTCTTGTCAGCTTCCCCCCTCTGCCTTTTTAAACTTTTATTTCAGATGAAAAGCGGATCGTGTTCCCTGCAAGTCAAATACATTTGAATCCTTCGTTATTGGCCTGTCCCAGTTTTTTCTAACTTTATAATTTGACTTTATAGATCCGGCTGCAGAACCCCTGTCTCTGATGATGCAGAGTAAGTTGTTGTGTGCGATCTTTGGATCCTTTAAAACCTGCTCGAGCTGCATGCTTTCTACACTTCCTACTAACTTAAAATACAGCTGACTCCCTTCGATCCTCGTGCTTTCCTTGTCCTTCTGCAGCGCTGGTGGGAATTCATGTGCTTTCTCCTGTATGTTCGCTGTGGCATTCAAATTCTAAGTTTCCAGAAAGCAACAAAGCATGCAATGGCTGAACTTCGGCTAATTCACGATGCAATTCCGGTTTTAAGCCCTGGTGGGGTGTGTGATGATTACAAGGAGCTAGAATTATAATGGTGGAAAGTTTGGATAACTGAGGTTAAGAAGGTTGCTAAGCAGGAAGTGGATGAGAAAACTTACCAGCATTTATCGATCTCAGCTGGTTGATATCCAAAAATTTAAAAATCAGCTCTGTAAAAAAAATTCTCCCTGATCTGCAGACTTCCAAAGCCAGTGTCATCAAGAGTCATCTTCATTTCTTGCCTTTTTCCCCCATGAAATTTCAGGGTTTTCTTTTCAATTACTAAAACGTACGGACTGACCTTTATCAGGCTTGGAGAGTTGCCAGGCTGATACCTTCCAAACGCCATGCTATAGCAGCAATTACTTGGCAAGAAGTCAGGAACAGATCTTCACCCTAATGGATTGAACTAATTGTCTCCTGCAAACACCATTCCCCTTTCGCTCCTCTATTCCCCCTGGGAGGGGCCATTCACCATCCACCTGTAGCTTTACTCCTGAGTTGACCCTTGTTCCTTAACTGTTCCCTTCTTCTGGCAGCTCTGTGCATGCATACATCGGGAACAGGCTCCAGCTGTTCTTCTGCCTCACTGATCTCCGACTTTGAAGGCAGCTGATAACTGTCAGATGGCTCTGCCCCTATCTCTGCCTCCGAGGCAGAGCCCTCGTCAGAGCCTTCCCCAGACTCCAGGCCTGGCCCATGTTCCTCCCCAACCTCCTCCCTGTCCGAATCTGCTGCCAGGCCACTGGCAGGCCACAACACTACCTATATTTCTCTGTATATTTATTCAGGCACTTTCTTCCAACATCAGAAATTTTGACAGACAAGTACATTCTCCTGAGCAAAGACATTCAAAGCCAGAATGAATATCCAATACTAAAATGCTAGGAATGATTTTTAAAAATGATTCTTCTCCTAGAAAATGCATATGCAGGAATAACACTGCCTGCATCTTTTCTTGTAAAAGAATTGCTGTCTGAATTTATTAAACAGCAAATCTGTTCAGATGTGTCAGAAACAGATTGATGTTACATTTTACATTGGTATTAATTTTGTCGTGATTTAAGTTCACGATTTCTTACATTGAAGACAGAATCGTGGCTACGTAATCTTCTAACCTATGATTTTTTCCCCCTGCTAATAAAACCAATTCCTTAAAAAGAATTATTTTTCTTAAAGCCGTTTAGCTCCGTCCTGTAGCCAAACCCTAAATAGTTTTATAGAGAGAGAAGCCCTTTTGTTCATTTCCACATCAAAAGCTGCTGATAATGTTTAACATTTTTGCATTGGAATCACATTTTAAAAATAACTCCCCCTCCCCCCCCCAAACTGGAATGTTAAATAAATAAATGTGGCAGATATCCATGCTGACTGGAAGCAGGAAAATGATAATCATCCTTTAGTCTGTCTCCAAAATCTTTTTTTTTTTTAATTGAAACCATTTTTAATTTTGTTAGCGGTCTCTTATTTCTGATTTTGGGCTGAGTTTCCTTAGAAGATAAATGGACATGTTTCATGCTGACTTTGAGTCACCGCACGCCTGCAAAATCCGCTTGCAGGTTTATAATATCAAAAAGAGAAAACTGGCATTTTTTTTTTCATTGAATCCAGTGATTTAAGAAGTCTACCATTGGACCTAATGAAATGTATAGTGCACGTGACTAAGAACTTGATGGAAATAAAACTTTTCTTGAAAGCGACTGAAATTAGAGACAATCTTTTTCACATTTTGTTTTCCAGATGCTGTAGTTCAAGTAGTCCTCAACTTATGAACAGTTTGTTTAACAACTGTCTCCCTTAGCAACAAAAAATGTGGGGAGGGCCCTCAATTGTGGTCATAAGTCAAGGATGACCTGTATTTTCGGTCAAAGCTGAATGAAGTAGGGCAGGTTAGTTAGAGCAATTGCATAACCCATTCCACAGAATTTCTAGGATGCAAGTCCGTGTCACTTCCACCAGTCCAAAATAGCAATCCCACAGCTCTCCCTTTCTCTCCACAATATTTAGTATTTTAAAAAATGTGATGCTATGATGTCACACGTTTTGTGCAGCTAAATTTTTGCAAGACAAAAAAGTCAGAGGAAGGACTCCTATAATTTGTAATTCCATCCTTATTTATTTTTTTTGGTAATAATTTTTATTGTTCTTTTTCACCTTTAACACACATTAATCTTGACTTTAACAGTACTGTGTGTCATCATTATTATACAAATTATTCTACACATCAATCTCATATAAATATCTACATTTATACATCTTTATATACATTCATTTACTTTTATCTATAATTTTCTTATTTCCTTTGTCTTTATTTCTGTTATTCAACCAATTATACCAATTATCCCAAATTTCGTAATACTCCGACTCTTCTTTCTCTTTTAGTTTTAATGTCAATTTGTCCATTTCAGCATTTCAGTCTAGGATTTTTTGAATTATTAATTCCTCAGTAGGCATATTATTTTGTTTCCAACATTGCGCGTATATTATTCTTGCAGCTGTCAGAATATGTAATAGAATATATTTAATCTTCTTTCTATAATTCCCCTTAATTATTCCCAATAGAAACAACTCCGGTTTAAATTCTGTTTGTTCTTCCACTATCTCTTGTAGCCAACTCCATATTTTAATCCAATATTTTTGGGCTTCTGGGCATAACCACCACATATGGTAGAAGGTACCTTGGTTCTGTCTGCATTTCCAGCATGTTGGATTCATGTTAAGGTACATTTTGGCTAGTCTCATTGAACTAAATGCCACCTATAGAACATCTTATGCATATTTTCTTTATAGGCCGCTGTTCTTGTTAATGTATAATTTTTATTCCACATGTTCCCCTAATCTGCTAAATCTATACTATGCCCAATTTTTTTTGCCCATGCTATCATGCAGCCTTTTACTACATCCTCTTTTAATGCAACTTTTAATAGGTAATTATACATCTTTGCTATAAATTTCTCTTCTGGGCCTGTTAAAATTTTATCTAATTGTTGCAGCTCGGTGTAAATTCCATACTTTTCCATATTTTACTGCATAAATTAATCAATTGAATTCCTCATGCAGGTGACATGTAAGTTGTTGAGGGGGGGAAAACCCCAATCTTTATTGAATATGGATGCTTTACAGGCATTGATTTTTTTAGGGTTTTTTTTATAGCTGGCTTCCTCTTTAACAGTGGAATGGGTATTTTTATTTAATAAAGTTTTGAGATAGAAAGAAGGAACTAAGGATCTTGATATTAAATAGGCATCAACAGGAAAGATTAGGGGATGTGTGTGGTATTTTGGTGCACCAGCTCCTGCTAGTGGCTTCAACTGAAACTTCTCCAACCATCCTAACAAAAAGATTTAATTCAATGTATTCCATCTCTTGGCATTTCAGTATTATTTCTCCTCCTGACTTCCCTTCATCAATAGACAGTAGAATTAAGACAATTTTTTTTTAATTCTAAATAATGCTAAAATACAGGTCCTTAGAACCTTAGCCATAGCAGATGGAAAATGTGAAGTGTGACCACTATTTTAGCAGGAGACCTATTTTCTTTGGAATACGAAATTTTGTCTTGAAGGAATGGAATGGAATAGAATAGAAATAATTGGAATGACATGGAATGGAAATAATTGGAATAGAATAGAATAGAATAGAATAGAATAGAATAGAATAGAATAGAATAGAATAGAATAGAATAGAATTCTTCCTTGCCAAGAGTGATTGGGCACACAAGGAATTTGTTTCTGTTGCATAAGCTCTCAGTGTACACATATACAACAACAGAGTGATAGGTCATAGATCATAGTTACAATCATTAATCATAAGATACAGATGACAAGCGATAAACCATAACATACCACTAGGAGAAGGTAGTAGGAAAGATGAGAAGATGAGAAATGAGAAGAAATGAGAAGACGAGAAACGATGATAATAGCCAGACAGTGCTAGGGGAATTAGTTGTTTAGTTGTCGTGAGTGATGGCACGGGGTGTGTGTGGGAACTGTCTCTGTGTCTAGTTGTTTTGGTATGCAATGCCCTATAGCGAAGTACCAAGGGGAGGAGTTGAAATACTTTATGTCCAGGATGTGAGGAGTCTGTAGATATTTTCTCAGCTCTCTTTCTGGTTTGAATAAACAGTGAGCGAAACAAAACCACAACCAATGACAATCGGTTCATTTACAGTTCAGGTCGCCTCAGAGGAAGAGGTTGTAGCTACTTTTCCAAAAAAAATACTTTAGAAGTCGAAAGATTGGCAACCTGACCCTCTCCAGATGTTATGGACCACGCCTCCTCATCCCAGTCCATGCGATGAATCAAGGATTGTGGGGTTTGTAGTCCAAAACATCTGGAGGGTACCATACAGCCTTGCCTAATTTAAACGTAGGAGCACGTTTGCAAATTCTTAGCAACGAGCTAGCAGAAAAGATTGAAGTTCCACACAAGTAATAAAATGACCTCTGCGGGGTATTTGGTCCATTTCACTAAAGCTGTTTCAGTTCGTGTAAGGATTCCAGATGAAAATGGATGTGCTTATAAAATTAACCTGCCAAATGTACCAAAAAAAATTCTGTCTATATGTACCAGTCCTGAAAAACCATCAGCTGCATATGGTGTGTCTTTGAGTTGTTTTACCTGTGCTCTCTTTGCAATATAATCTTTTTACCTTGCTTAACATTCATAATCCGCTTCTTAGCTTCGTCGTGCAAGAGAAATTGTCATAGAATAGAGAAATTACTCGTTTTCTTATGTGTTAATATGTCTCAATGTTTTCCAGTATCTTCTTAACAAAATAACACAAACAACATTTCTGCATGTGTGTTCGATAGGGATGACTTACCACAGCTTACTCACTGCTGGCATTTTAGCCTAAAATACTAGCTTTTTATGTTCTTCTCAACTGTCTCTATATAAGTGTCCGAATATAGTGTCCTTTCAAGTATTTCAGAAATCAAAACTCGAGGGACACTTGCAACTCAACCCCAGTTCCACGTCCCAAGGCTGCTGTTCAAAAAAACAACAACTAGACTTTCTTGATCTTTGTTCCTGGGAAATATTTGTGATGACCCAGAGTGTAACACAAACGTAACAAAATCCAGAACATAAATAAATGTCCTTTAATACCTCCAACTTGGCTCCACTGTTCAATAATCTCAGTTGGAAATAAAAAATATTCAAAAATAGTCTTCAAAAAAAAGCAATACAGTCCGAACTTAATGAGCAGATAGAGGTGAACTAAAAAACCAAAACAAACTACAATGAAGGAAGTTCCAACAACAGATCAGGATAAGTAATTACCAACTTCAAAGAGATAACAAGGCACAGTCTGTTGGAAGGACGCCAACTAAGATAACTTCAGCCCAAAATAAAACACACTTTGCTTCTGGCAACACTATGTTTTAACCGGCTCTCTTATATACTATTCTCCCCAGCTGCAACCAATGAGGGGGATCATGGCTGCTTCCTCTCTCCTAAGCCAAGTTGTTTCCTTCTCCGTCCCTCCCTGCGTGTCCTAGGATGAAGAGGGGATGGGCCTGGTTCTTCCTTTGACTGCCCAGCCGGCCTCTGCCCTTCCCCAGCCTCCTCCACAACCTCTGGAGCCACAACTCCACTCCCTGTTGGCTGTTCCTCCTCTCCCTCAGAGTCCGACTCTAACAAGGGCATGACAATATTTCACTTCTGATCCAAAAACTGACTTCAGTTCTGAAGAAGCTTCTTGGATGAGAAACAAAACATTTTCAAGGGACAAAACAAAAACCTAACAACCCAAGAAAGTCCAGTTGCTTTTTGAAAAAGCACCTCTGGCACAACCATGACCTGAATGATTGAGAATCTCCCTAGATGATAGTTCATCAGATCTTACCACCTCATTCTGGATAATCGTTCAAGACTTCTTGCAATATCTGATAATGCTTGAAGTCAGAATTGGATTCCTCCATCCTTCTCTTTCCCTCTTTATACCAGCTTCAAGAAGGACACCTCAATTTACATTGGGAAACTTTTTATACAGTACATTGAAAACTAGAAATTCTGGCTTAAAGTCAGGCAACTAAGTCAAATGGACTCAGTTGGGTTCAACCTTTTCTGCATAGTTCCAGATTTCCCCTGCAGAGTTGAAGAATTGATAGCACCCTCACTGAACTTCTAACTGAGGAGGCCTTCTAAATTTATAAAGAAATATTCGGTAAAGTTTGAAAAACACCGGAACGAGCAACAAGGTTTTGACATTTTTCAACCCAAAAGAGAAGGGACAGTTGAGAAATTGAACAAGGTTTTGTATAGAAGATCGTGCTAAATTCATGCAATCACGCTGAGAAAAAAAAAAAAAAAAGCTTTGGACATGCTTGTGTTTGGCTTAAGCGGCCAACTTGCACGTATGTTATTAGTATGGCTGCTTCTGGGCACTTCCACTTAAAGCAGGGTTGTCCATTATGACACGTGGACTTCAACTGCCAGAAAAAAGCTAGCTCAGGAATTCTGGGAGTTGAAGTCCACAAGTCATATACGGGCCATAGTTCCCCATCTCTGCCTTCGAACCTGAATCTCACATATTAAAATGGCCGGCTCAGGAATTCTGGGAATTGAAGTGCACAAGTCAAATAGGAGCCATAGTTCTCCATGAGGAGATCTCTGATCCTTAGATGTTTGGCTGAAGGCATCTTAAGCTATGGGACTTCACAGCTTTCCATGAAAGCAGATCCATTTTACTTCCCTGCAGCCCCCTCCTGTGACTGAAATCTCCAGAGTCCACTTGACAAACTTATTTCCTTTCCTTTCTTCTCCAGGAGCGCGAGCATGTTTGACATGAGATGCCCAGTAGAGGGTGCTGTGAATCAACCTCACAGTAAAGATCGCCACGAAAAGCTTCAGATCATTCAACACCAGCTGAAGGAAGAGGAAGATCAGTGGCAAGATGTGAGTAGCGGGGTCCATAGAGCTACGGCAAGCGGAGCTAGTTGCTATCGCAGGAGCTTTTGCAAACCACGTTTTAAGTTAGGGGCACAATAAATAGACTCAGGGTATGTGAAGTGTGAATACCACTTTACAAGGCCTTGGTAGGGCCACACTTGGAATGTTGCATCCAGGCTTGGTCGTCTCGTTGCTAAAAAAGATGTTGAGACTCTGGAAAGAGTGTGGAGAAGACCAACCAAGAGGATTAGGGGACTGGAGGATAAAATATACGAAGAACGGTTGCAGGAATTGGGTGTGTCTAGTTTAATGAAAAGAAGGACTGGGGGGGGACATGATAGCAGTTTTCCAATATTTGAAAACGAAGGGAATAACCCAGGGGCAGGGTTCAGCCAGCACAGACAGGCGAACTGGTAGTTCCCGCGATCATTTGGCCCAGTTCCTGCGCTATTCCGTCCGATATTTCCTTTGTTTGAAACCCAGCTGATTGGCGCAGCGATGCGGAATACCGCGCCTCAGCTGTTTTTACTCACCAGAGCTATAGTAAAAGGTAAGTTTTCTTGCTGTTTTTCAAACGAACTGCGCGCGTGCTCAGTGAACCGGTTGTTACACCGGTTGAATCCCACCACCGGAACAACCTATTCTGCAAAGCATCTGAAGGCAGGACAAGAAGCAATGGATAGAAACTCATCAAGGAAAGAAGCAACCTAGAACTAAGGAGAAGTTTCCTAACATTGAGAACAATTAATAAGTGGAACAACAATTTTTAAGAAGACAATGGAGAACCATTTGACCGAAATGGTTTCCTGCCTGAGCAGGGGGTTAGACTAGAAGACCTCCAAGGTCCCTTCCAACTCTGTTATTCTATTTCTAAGAAGGAAACAATGTGAAAATGGTTGGCCCCACTACCTTCTTCTATTTTTAAAAAAATTTGACAGTCTGACACTAACTCTATTCCATCTACATACACACACACTGTCAGACCACCAAGCTGGAAAAGTTGGGGACCTCAGGGTTAGCTTATAACTACCTGCTCTGTGATTTTATGTAGGATTTAGCCCGGTGGAAAAACCGTCGGAGGAGTGCTTCCCAGGATTTGCTGAAAAAAGAAGCCGAGAGGAAAAAGATGGAGCAGCTACTCACTGGAGGAGAGGGAAGCAACGAGAGACGGAAGAGCATCAAGACGTACCGAGAGATTGTGGAGGAGAAGTACGTAGCCTTAAGCAAGCAAAGGCTGGTTGCGGAAGGCGCGCCTGATCATAATATGGGTTGGGTTGGGTTGAGCGTATGAATGAGCCCAGGCAGTCCTGACGTATTTAGAAACCACGGCTAAGGGAATGATGGTCCAGATATTGATTGAAGAGAATATTTGTAGCTCAGGGTTGAATTCTGGGGTCCTTGGTGGTCTCTGAGCTTGGTTGTTTGCTTGCAGATGTTTTATGACCCAACTAGGTAACATCATCAGTACTAGAAGGGAGTGTGGTTGGCAGGGAGGAGGAGGAAGAAGAAGAGGAGGAGGAGGACGACGACAACTATAGTGCCCTTGGTGCTCTCTGAGCTGGGTTGTTTCCTTGCAGACATTTCATTACCCAACTAGGTAACATCATCAGTGCCAGGAAAGGGAGGAGGAGGAGGAGAAAGAGGAGGAGGAGAATTGGAAGGATTTTGATGTTCTCTGAGCTTGGTTGTTTTCTTGTAGACATTTCATGACCCAACATGATCAGTGCTAGAAGGGAGTGTGGTTGGCAGACAGGAGGAGGAGGAGGGGGAGGGAGAGGAGGGGGAGGACTGAAGAGTCCTTGGAATTTCATTTCTTTTTTCAGATGTTTCATGACCCTACTAGGGAACATCCTCAGTGCTAGAAGGGAGGAGGAGTAGGACTATAGTGTCCTTGGTGCTCTCTGATCTGGGTTGTTTCCTTGCAGACATTTCATTACCCAACTAGGAAACATCATCAGTGCCAGGAAAGGGAGTAGAAGGAGGAAGAAGAGGAGGAGAAGGAGTAGGAGAATTGGAAGGATTTTGGTGTTTCTCGTAGACGTCTCACAACCCAAACTCAGTAACATCCTCAGAGCAAACCCTATACTCCCCTACAGCACTGATGAGGTTACCTAGTTGGGTAACACAATGTTTGCAAGAAAACAACCCAGCTCAGAGAGCACCAAGGACCCCACAGTCTGGACATATTTGCCTTGTGGCCCAAAGGTCATGACCCGTGACCGTTCTGTGTTTATAAAATGTATTATTACCCCACGCTTCTTGGAATATGAAGTACAAGGACTTATCCAATTCCGCCATCTTGGTTTCTGCTCCCCCACAGAGAGAAGCGTGAAAGGGAACTTCACGAAGCTTACAAGAATGCCAGGTCTCAGGAAGAGGCAGATAGGATACTCCAACATTACATCGAGAGGTTCACCATTAGCGAAGCTGTCCTTGAACGCTTGGAGATGCCAAAACTTTTGGAAAGAAGCCATTCTGCTGAGCCAAATTCATCCTCCCCATCCAAGGACTCCAACCCTCTCCGATATTTACGGCAGCAGTCACTCCCAGCCCCAAAATTCACTGCCAAGTTCGAAGCCACCATCATCCCCACCAGTGGGCCAGAGGCTAGCACCTCCACTGGCTCCCCCGCCTCAAGCAAACCCTCAGGCTCCGTGGCTATGCCTCTGGTGACGCCCAAGCCTTACTCGCAGCCGAAAGATACCCAGGAGATTTTGAGAAACTTCAAGGTGGGTTAAGATATGACAAGAAGAAGGCCTCCAGTGAGATGGGAAGCATGCAAGTTTAGTAAATAGTAAATAGGTGATGATGGGTGGATGGACGGATGGATGGACAGACATGATAGATGATAGATGAGATACATGATGGATGGATGGATGATAGATGGATGGACAGACGGATAGACATAGAGGAGAGATGGTGGATGGGATGGATGGGTGATGATGGATGGATGGATGGATGGAAGGAAGGACAGACATGATAGATGATATAGATGATGGATGGACAGATACACAGGTCATAATTGATGGATGGATGAATGGATAGACATATAGACAGGAGAGGTAATGGATGGGACGGATGGGTGATGATAGCTGGATAGATAGGTGGTGATGGATGAATGGATGGATGGATGGACAGACAGATGATAGAGGATATAGTTGGTTGATGGATGGACAGATGAATAGGTCATAGATGATGGATGGATTGATGGATGGATGGATGTACGGACAGACATGATAGATGATAGATGAGATAGACGATGGATGGATGGAGACAGACAGATGATAGATGATATAGATGATGAATGGACAGATAGTCAAGTCATAGATGATGGATGGATGGACAGACAGAAAGAAATAGAGGAGAGATGGTGGATGGGATGGATGGGTGATGATGGATGGAAGGACATGATAGATGATAGATGAGATAGATGATGGATGGATGGATAGATAGATATAGAGAGAGTAATTTTGTAGTCCTAACCACTTTCCTTCTCATTAGAACTAATCCAAAATGGCCTCAGAGCCTTAATTCCTCTGCTTTGGGGTTTTGAAATGCAGGTGGATGGAAAGATCTCTGTGAACAGAGAAGCGAGCAACGGAGTGGAAGACGAACCAGACAAGGAATGCTCGGCCTTTCTGTTTGAACCTTCCCCCAACCTTTCAACTAAGTCTGAGCACGTGGTCGAATCACACAGGGGATCTATGGAAGGAAGCGCAGATTCTACCCCTCCCGAGCTGGTTCAGAAGAGCTTAATCGAAGACAATGTACACAGAGAGCAAATTGTAAGGGCCAGATACTTGGGTTAGCTGGGTGGGGAGATAAACAGTTCTGCAACTGCTTGTAAACTTAGGCCTAGAGGTAGTTGACTTATAACTATTCGGCTTTTTGTTTGAAGTCAATACAGTTAGTCCTCGACTTATGACCACAATTGAGCCCAGAACTTATGTTGCTAAGCAAAACATTTGTTAAGTGATCTTGGCCCCATTTTGCAACCTTTTTTGCCACAGTTATTAAGCAAATCACTGTGTCAGATTCCCAAGGGATGAAATCCATTTAAAAAGAAAAGAGCAAAGTCCCATCTTCCAAAACAATTAATTTTATTTAGGAAAGCATCAAATTGGCAAAGTCTGTTGCAATTCTGGATCTGACACAACCTGGAATTACACCACCTAATATTGGAAATTAGAAACCGCCCCCAAAAGTCACATTCCCCAATAGAAGTAAATCAACGTTGCCTGGTGTCATCAATCTCCACCTCCAGGTCTCAGCAGGGTCAGCTTTTGTTCCCACGGGAAGAAGAACCACCTAGCCTAAACAACTCTACACTCCTCCCACCTTAGAAATGTGGCAAGCCCGAAACCCTTCCCCCCATAACCAGCGAAGAGAAAGAAAGAAAAGGAATATATAATGGCTACGCATATGTCAATTTCGGGCTTGACACACTGCCCGAACACGGGTGTTCAGTTAGTAACTGTTGTGGTTAGCCAGTAGCAGGTGCAGACAGCTGAGGAGAGCGAGGACTCAGATGAGGGGCCAGGAACATTAGGGAGTGGACTGCTGCCTTCAGAGATTGTGGGGGCTGGCAGCAACGATGAGGAGGTTCCCGAGGAGCCTGTGCCAAGTGCCCGTGTGCGCAGTGCTGCTTGCAGGAAAGAGCAGCTGCAGCAGCACAGGCGACTCGGGAGTAAGGCTGCAAGGTAATGGCCCCTCCTTCAAGAAGATAAATGTGAATCGGACGTTCTTTGCAGGAAGCAAAGACGTTCTGAAACTCAGCCTTGTGGACATTGCAGTATCTTAGTTGGTATTTGAAGACTCTTGTGTTGTGAAATATTTCTTATCTGTGATTCTTGGCAGCCTTGCACAGTTTTGGCGAGGCTTGCGCTTATCAAAGTTAATTAGTTTGCAGCAGCCTTTTAACTGGGGATTTGTAAGAATCATTAAAAGGTTTCTGTTCCTTTTGGTTCATGTTTGTTTTATTGGAAAAGGGTTTGGGTCAGAACAGAAACAAGGTTGTTAAGTAAATCTGGCTTTCCTGTTGGCTTGGCTTCTCAGAAGGTTGCAAAAGGGGACCCCAGGACACTGCAACAGTCATAAATAGGAACCAATTGCCAAGCACCTCAATTTTGATCACATGACCGTGGGGATGTTGCAATGGTCAAATGGGTAAAAAAAATGGACATAATTCACTTTTTCCAGTGTAACTTTGAACGGTCACTAAACAAGCTGTTGTAAGTCCAGGGCTACCTGTATCTGTTTGGCTGAACAAAGCAACCCTTGAAAAAAAATTAGACCTTCGTTATTTTGTGGTCGTACTTGACCCCAAATTGCTTCTCCAAAAACAATGGCCAAGTTACTGAATCCTAAAAGCTTATTCAAACTGTAAGAGAGTTGTTTGGTTGTAGCAAACAAGTATAATAAATCAACTTACTACATTTCCTTTGGCTTCTGCTTTAACCATGAACTCAATGTTTTCTGCAGGACTCCTTCACGGAAGAAGCTGAACCAGCCAGCCGAAAAGATAGAACTGATCTAGAAGAGACCTTTCTGGGTAGGCTCTTGCAAATGGGCCTTTTAAAGTATAGTAAACAGTCCTCAAAATAGCTCAAGATTGAACTGTGAGGTTCTTGAGGTCCACTGAGCTTGGTGGCTTTCTTGCAGATGTTTCATTACCCCCCCCCTCCTCCTCCTCCTCCTCTGCACGTCCCATTTCCTTGTAGCACTGATGATGTTATCTGGTTAGGTCATGAAATGTCTGCAACAACTAAGCTCAGAGAACAACAAGGACAATTTTTCCTCCTCCTCTTCCTCTACTCCTCCTCCAAACTGGTGTGATGACCCAGGGCGTGGCACAAAGGCAACACAGTCAAATAAGCAAGAAGTGTCCCTTTAATTATTTCCAACTTTGCCCCCAATGTCCAGGTTACCTTCGGCTGGAGAAAACACTCTCCCAAGAACAGTTTTTAAGTGGTGGAAATTCAGTCCGAAAACAAAGTACATACAAACTGTAAATAAAAATCCACACAAACCACACTGCAGTGATTGACTGGACAGAGCAGGAGAAGGAATTGCAGGCTTGAAAACCCATCAAAACATACACAGTTGGGAAGACTCCAGAAACCCAGATAAGCCTCAACGATACCAGATAATTCACAATTTGCTCCCAACAACTTTGCTGCACGCAGCTTGCCTTTTTTATACACTGTGTTCCCAGCTGCAGCTAATGAAGGGAATCAGGGCCCTTTCCTCCACCCGTAAGCCACGCAACCCACATTGCTTCCTTCTGTGTTCCTCCCTGTGTGCCCTAGGATGAAGAGGGGGTGGGCCTGGGTCTTCCTCTGAACCCCCTCTCCCTTGCTCTACCTCTCTCCTGCTCTGCTTTTGTGGAAGCCGTTGGCTGTCAGTACTTTAGTCAGGGTGCATAGTTCAGTCTTTATGTGTGTCTTGCCTGCCAGGCATTTGGTTCTGGCAATTAGTGTTTTGGCCACAGAGTTTATCTGTGCTGGGTGGTGGTGGGATTGGGCATTGAGGTAGCAGTTGGTGTGTGTTTTCTTCTGGCATATGGTGTGTCCTAGTGTGCCATCTGTTTTTTTGTAGATTAGTACATCTAGGAATGGTAGTTGTTTGTTTCTGTTTCCATGGTGAATTTGATTTTGGGGTGTGTGCTGTTTAGGTGTGTTAGGAAATTGTTTAGGTTTTCTTTTCCATGGGGCCAAATAACAAATGTGTCATTGATGTATCTTAACCATAGTTTGGGTTTGTGGGTGGCATTGAACAGGTTTGCAATGACGGGTGACAGTGGTGATCCCGCAGGGGCTCCTTCAATTTGCTTGTATCTTTGTCCTTTGTATATGAAATATGTGTTGGCTAAGCAGTGTTCTGCTAGTTCCATGAGGTGTTTGGGTGGTTGGTATTTATTTTTGATGATTTGTAGGGTTTCTTTTATCAGGACTTGAGTGAATAGTGAAACCACATCGAAACTTACAAGCAGATCTTTTTGTTCCACGTGTAGATCTTTGATCATTTCCAAGAGGTGGTATGAGTTTTCTACATGTGAAGCTGCTGCTTCAGCATGGGGCTGTAGCTGCTTTGCTAGGTATTTGGCTAGGTTTTGTAGTGGTGCTCCTCTGGAACTGACTATGGATCTGAGAGGTATGCCTTCTTTGTGTATGTTTGGGAAGCCTGCACTTACAAACAAAAAAATCTCCACGCCATAAGCCAGGCAAACACCTGGGCACAAACACCTGGTCAAATTTGTTGATACCTCCAGCTCAAACACACCCCAACCAGGCACCCAGATGAAACCCAGCTTCCTAATAAATGATAGCCGTCCATTTACTCGAAGCCAAGCCTCACTAAAAGCCTCCAATACAGGAAACACAATGTTGCCAGCCACTCAAGACCAAAAAAAAAAGCTACAAAACAGACAGAAGATATTAGAAACACCAATCAAGCAGAACACCGCAAACTCTAAGACTAATAAACACAGACCAAGACTCCCAACCAATCAGGATGAAGAAAAAACCATTCTGGCACAGCAGTAGGCTAGCACCAAATTTAAAACAGAAACGACTACAAAAGTCTGACTCACAGACTGAACACTATACAGAAGCCTAATGATGGCAGATGAGATTCTGCTGAAACATCACTACAACTGTAAAAGCACAACTATAATGATGCGGGAAAATACCCGAACAAAGCTGAATTACATACATACATACATACATACATACATACATACATACATACATAC